AGAATAGCAGCTTCCAGAATCATGACTGTACCTTTAAACAGATAATCCTATTTTAATCTATGAGTTAGCGATGAATCGATTGACTTGAAATCTAATTTTGCTTTAAGTAAAGAAAACAAATCTACACGAAATAGAAGAAAGACACTGTATAATCTGTGCAACGAGACGGGAGAGTAGACATAAACAAAACGCGATTGCTGCGGCTGCAGCTATTGGTTGCCGTCTAGTAACACTCGATTGTGAGTGGTTTTGTTTATGTCTACTCTCTCGTCTCTGGCAGATCATAGGTATCCACCGCTTCACAAACGCCATTCCTTACGTTCCTCCCTGACACTTAATCCCAGCATTCCGCGTCTTTAATGTGACGACAAATTTCCTTAGCGCCTCCGATACGCGCGTATCCACTTCCTCCGCGGCATCTCGCAACCGTCCTTGGTCTTTGGAAACGCGATACTCCGCGTCGCTGCAGATTCTGTGAACTTCGTCGAGTTGCGCGCTTGTCGTCGAAAGGATCCCACTGTTTGCGAGCTTGCAATCCGACGCGACGCCGATAAAGCCGGCGGGAAGAAGGCGAGGAAAGACGCAGCGGCGCGCGAACAGGGAAAACAACCCTCGAGGACGAACGCGTGCACGTTGCGAATGAATCGCTGTGAATTTATCACGGCGAAACTCAAGGCGACGATCTTGCTCGACCAGCAATTAACGCCGGTGATTTAAGAACGTGCAAGCCGAGATTCAATGTCGTCGCCTCTCTTTTTCCTTTTCGCACGCGTAATTCCGCGACCATGTCCCGTATCATCGCGGTTCTCATCATCTTCTTCTTTTATCGTCTTTCTCGGTTCTCTTGTCTCTCTTCTGCATGTGGCTCGCCAAATGTCTCGTATTGCGCACGATCTGTTTCTTGTACTTTCGTTTTTGGTTGTTGAACAGTACGGTTCGTTTTACTTGATTCGACTCGACGTATTTCCCCCAGTTCAACTGCGTTCCATTCCCATTCGAGCGCGTTACGTCTCGTTACGTTCCATTCAGATTCGTTCTGTCGTACGCGCGATTCCAGCCCATTCAGCCATGTGGAGACCATGCTAGTCGTTTTGTTCGCCGCTCTCGTAACGATCTGATAATTTAGGCACGGCTTGCGTGTACGAGTTTCGTTCCGCGTTCCGTTTTTATCACGCGATGAGTTTATTAACGTTTCTACGCCAGAAACCAACCCCCTGCGAGTATTCAGTGTATCGATTTTATCACGGTGCATTTAAATTTTTAAAGTTTCAAGGATCCAAAATTCGAGGATCTCAAAGTTTGTAAAATTGAGAAAAATGTCAACTTAATCGCTTTGATACGGAGAGCATTTGTTTCGGGTTAGATCGCGTACGAAAAACACAATGGCTTGATCTTTCAAATTGTTGCTGAAACCTCGAAATTGCAGAGCTAACGTCCAAAGATCGTCGACCATCACCAAAATGGCAACAGTGTTCGTAAAAAGAAATATCAAGAACGGTGTATTAGTACGTAAAATAACCGTGTACAGCGGACAAGAATTATTGGGTGCACGAGCATTTTTGATGATCCTAACTGAGGAAATTACACGTTCCCTTGGAGATTTACCTACATAATGTATTCGCCACGTATACGACCAAGAGACACGCACTCGAAAATTCCAAATCTCATTAGTTCCCTACATAATTTCCATTTGGGAAACATCACGATAATTTTTAAAGAAAAAAAAAAAGATTCATTCATCGAAAATAATGTCTGTAAACACAGTCATCGCGCTACTGGCCTGATTTTTCTAATGTTCTCTATTTGGCGCGTTCTCCTGCTTAAAGTTTTGACGGTTCCGACAGGGAAAATTACACGTTCCGGAACAGGGTTGCGTGTTCGCCCAAGGAATCCGGTAGGATATGATTACAGCTACTATTATTAAACTATTACTAAGAACCGGTGCAGAAGAGCGGATATTTTGTTGTCAGACGCGATGCAACTCACTTGCGAGTACAAAGGAACCATCGTAATTGGACTCGTTTCTGCCAGTTTGCGTTCCGCGAGACAATTTGCGTGAGGGAAAGATAATGCACGAGTAGCACGTTAATTCGCTAAACTGACCTACCTAGTCCACGAATCGTTGGAACAAAGAAAAACAAAGATTATGTAGGAAACGCAGAATCGTTGGAACAAAGAAAAACAAGATTATGTAGAAAACGCAGAATCGTTGAAATATAGGAATTCGCAGTATATTTGTACGAAACGACAGGCATTTCGAATCCCAAAGGATCATAATTCTGTCATGTGCGTCTATTCAGGCTCGTTTCTTATTACGTGAAACTACAGCGCCGACACGCCCACCATAACGAATTCAATTTAACGCACGCTAAAGATCGTGAGTTCCTGGTGTATACGAGACCTGATAGCGGGCTTTTATATTCAATTTATTAGCTTTAAACGCGGTTGCTCGGAGCTGTTTACGATTCTCGGCTGCAACGTTTTGTCGAATTCGTGTCTCTGCGGCTCGTTGTCTATCGTCATCCAACCGTCGTGGTTATTAAATATGATTAGCTTATTACGACTTGTCAATTCGCGTTCAATCCATTTATTAAGTCGCTCTACTTGCTTTTCGTTAACGGCAGGCGTAGATCGAGGCACTCGAAACGATCTCTTATTATTAGTTTTTACGTATTGCTATGCATTGCGGTACACCAGCCGCATACTTTCGCTCGTTACAAAATCGTTCCGCCGCATTTTGCAACCCGTTGAACCGGCGGAATGCGTGCAGGCCGCTTGAGAACGCGTGGATCCAGCGAACTGGTAAGTGGAGCTCGAGATCGAGGATCATCCGCCACGATCGAGGAACGCCTGGAGGAAAAATCGCGGCGGGTTGAGTTGCATCGTGGACCAGATGATTTCTTCCATCTTCCTTCTCTTCTATATCGCTGACTTCGCTGATGTACCGGTTTCACGCGCGCATAGGCATAAATATACACGGTCATGGAGGCGTCGAGAATTTACCGGGCGAATTCCTTATCCGCTTCTCACGTTTTCATTCGTATGTCCAGCCGTTGGTTGCAGGATCAACGGACTGTGTCCATAGAAACGTTTAAGCGTTTAAGAGAACACGGAGGAGGAACGGCGGTGGATGCTTTCCGCCAACGTCATCGATCTTGATCGCGCGGGGCGTACAACGATAACGATTGTGCGCTCGGACGCGAGCGGTTCCCGAGTAAACGTGGAAGAATCTAGAACGGCTTATTCGTATCACGCAGCGATCGCAGGATACGTCGTGATAACTGATGATACACGGCCGATTGTTCGGCCAGCCGCAGATCTTCGGGAGCATTCGGCTGACCTACATCTCACTGCCGGATGACGGTCAATATGACGCGTTCCCGTTCCAACGAAATCGTCTCGCGGAGGCCACGCGTGGGTAGCAATTTTTCATCAGCGACAAATGAAAGCAATCCTTTATTCGACTTCTTTGAGCCACGAGCGTGTCAGGAGCAACCGAGTCATACTTTGTAATGCGGCTTCGAGAGCATGCCAAAGTTCATCCGACTTCTTTTGATTAAAAAGTTAATGTAGAATGTGGGTATTTAGTGGAGAGCAACGTTTACCCATGCTCGTAATAAAGCATTTGTCATATCATACACGATATGTCCGACCTACTTTTCTGTTCTAATACAAGAAGATCGATGTTCTAAGTGGTACTAGAAACAGAAGTTTATGGGCCTATTAACAAAGATAAAATACGATTACCGTAAAACTGAAAGCTACTACATAATTCCAGCGCCAATTTCGAATCTCCCTTAATTCACGTCTAGATCATGGTCCATTCATCCTCATTAGCAAGGCGCTACCGAGGCACACCTTTCTCATCCATAGATCTTACTACACGACATATATAATTCAAGAACGACGCTCGATATTCTCGATAAAGCGGCATTGGTGCGACTCATCGCGCCTCGTTCCTCGTGATCGCGAGCGAAAGGTTAAAGCGAGCTCGTTGGATTTTATCGCGGACACGCCTATAGCGGCCGATTCGTCGAGTTTGCACTTAAACAATGTACTTTCCGCGCGCGAACAAATTGATTAGTGTGTACGGTGGTGGCGGTCGTAAAAGGTGCGTGATCGAGTCGCGATCCGATAGATCTCCGGGGATCTAGATTCCCAGGAATCTATATATACGGTGCGCGTGCACCGAGTGAAAGCTACGGTATGTTGTAATTTACGCGTGACCGTGGTCGATCAACGGTGATATCCGTAAAACCGAGACTAATCGCGAACCGTTCCGCGTCGGCTCTGTGGCTGCGTTCCTGATTAACGATTTTAATTTAAATTGGTACCGTTTCGCGGTGCACCGTCAGGATCGTTCGACTACTGTCTTAATTAACCTTCCGACCATTCAATTAGAAGGCTGTCTGCTCAGCTTATTTCCTCCATAAAGCGGTAAAAAGTGTACGCGTTCGCCGATGAAAAAGGACGCGTGAGAATGTTACAAGTTTTTGCATATTCCGGTAAATTGCCTCGGGACAGTCGAATTTATTGGTCGGAAGTAATGTTAATCCACGGAACGTAAGATCCTCGGAATGTGAGGAGTTGCTTCTGTGCTGTAAAAGACGGCAGTGTAAGAAACGCGGGGACTTGCTTCCGTACGAGGCAAGGTGCGCGAAAGAAATTGGTGAGGTGGAGAAAGAATTCGGATAAACTTATCGTAATGGGTATCGCACGAAACTAATAAAAACCTCGAGAGGAAGATGCAATTACCAAAGTGGATCACTGAATGACATTGACGATTATCACATAGGGGAGAACGGTAACGCTTGGATATTAAAGAGGAAACTGTCTGGCCTGGATGTTTCAATTGACAGATCGGCCATGCTATGTAAAACCGAAAATCTAGCTTCTAATAATTCAATTAACAATTCAATTACTTTTACCTATCCTTTATAAAACATCGACACGACGATAAAAACGCAAACTAATGAACCTATTTTTACTGGTTTGCATAGGTGTATCCCGGATGGCGGGGACGTTGGTTACACGATGACGGAATTGCAGCCGTCACCGCCAGGATATCGAGTCCAGGATGAGGCCCCGGGCCCACCTTCCTGTCCTCCAGGCTCCTACAAGTACGCGAGTCACGGCCACAGCAGCGAGGCTGCCAATTTCAAGAGTACCTCGTCGTATCCTCAGGAAGGCTATGGCCTTAAGCAGAGTCCGTCTCGAACGGTGCCTCCTAACGAGTACTATCGGCGTAGAAACGACGGTAGGAGGTCCACGGAAAACGAGCACGAGGCTGCCAACGCAGCGAAGAAAGCCACAGTTGCCGGTTACAACGAAACTTACAAAAAGAATACTGCGGGCTACAAGAACGACAGCGGGTACGTGACCTTCGATCGAACTTTTGTTAGTCTTGTCATCTCTGCTGTCAGTCATTCTTATTGCCTTTTGCTTTTCGAGACATTTATCTTTCACGCGATGTTACGACTGAATTGACGCAACTCGCGTTCTTAAATCTCCGATCTTTTAAATTTTTGATTTTTAGAATCATTGAACTCCCGAACGTAAAATCGTTGCAATTTCTATCGATTTTCTAAAGAAAATATGTTCCCAGTCATTCAAATCCTGTTTCTCTTCTTCGCTAGAGAATTCATTGAGGAATCGATCCGCCGGTTGCATCGAAATGAATTATTTTACCCCATCTGTATCGGGGAACGAGTTTCCACGGTTAGCTCGCGCACTCTTTTATCGAGCAGCTTTTTGCAGGCAAGATAAGAGATACCGTTTGGCAGCCAATTAGACGTTCTCTGTATTAGTCGCGGCACACTTAGATTTCGCGATAGGTCAAACGTAGTGATGCGAGCAGCATGGTATCTCGTCGTTAGGAAGACGGGGTCCACGCACGACGTCGCAATTATAGCCTGATTATACACGTTTCCAGTTACGTTGAACTTGTTCGTCATTCCATAAATTACGCGGCGGCCACACATCCTGCTAATAAAGTGGTTCAATGACATCGCCGACGAGGAGAGGAAAGATCCGTGGTCAGCTACCGGGATTATCAAGCGTCTCGGAGGTGATTCATCGCGCGGTGCGAGCGCTAATCACCGACTATTCGCTCTCGGTTCGCGTATAATTGCTCCCACGCGTACGATTCGTCACGACGTTTCCATAGATGTTGACTAGTGACCAAACACGATTCAACTCGCGTGCCATTAATGGACGTATTTCCTTGTTTGCACGAACAGGTATAGCGAGAGTCTTGGATTCGACAGTTACACGCTCCCTCTCAATGAAAGAGACGAAGCGTCGCCGCCGCCAACACCGCCAGTCCGAGACGCGTCGAGCCTCAAAGGCGTCTGCTATGGCCCCGGTCACGAGAAGTACCCGTCGTGGCCGAGCGCGCCAGAGCGACACCCCGACGAGGATGTCCACAGCTCAGGCCACAGCGGATCACATCGATCCAAGTCTTGGACCGATCACACCAACTACCCGAAGGAGAAGCCTGCCCAATACACCAGACCGCACACGAAGAGGCCCAATCCTACGTTCACGCAGCAGGTAACGTATCTCTATGCCCATTCACAGTATCACGTCGTAGCTCTCGATCGATTCGCCGCCGGTGGGAATTTTTCCCGATCCGATGCGTCAGCATGCCGATAAAATCTCACGATCCGATTCATTCGGTGTACTTACTCGCACACGTGTCGGTGCGGCAAGCATTCCTTCGCGTCACAGGCAGTTACGAAATTGAAAACTCATTTGCAAGGAGGCGAAGCACTTTCGGTGTTAACGAGTCACGAGCGGACACCGGCCGAGCTTATCGTACCATTTTCGGCGTGCTTCTGGTTGCACGCGAAATGTTCCACGAGAGGACAGCGACGACGTGTGTCCGGGCACATGCAGAACCTCGACCGAAGGAAGTTTAATTGGTCGAATCGTGTCGCGTTAAACATCGATGGAACGACGGGCACGTCGGAACCTTGGTAAATCGCTACGCCCTAAAACGACGCGTATAATTAATCTCCCACACTCGCACCCTCCTTTCTCTCTCGCGGTGACATAATCGCCGCGTGGTTGCGCCGGCGACTTCCTGAAAAGTAGGCCAACGATTTCGAGGCGAAGCGTTGTTTCGCCCGACCAGCGCCCCATGTCTCCTCCCAAGACTTTTAAGAATCCTCGTCTTGTACGCGAATTCCAACGTTTCCAGGTACAGGGGAACGTTAATGCGCCGTAATTCATTCGACTTTCCTTTTGCTCAATTTAGAACTTCCTTATTAGCTGGACGCGTTTTTTGCCTACTTCGGTAATTAGCTCGTTGCCTGGTGGTTTATTTTAAACCGAAAGGCATTACGCTGACACTCGATGGGAAGAGCGGCTCGCGTGGCAAAAACTGAATACAGCTTAAGTTCAATTACGCACCGAGGTTCAGGCAAATGTATGCGCGGCCTGTGCTGATTGCGCAATCGATTACGCAGCCCCGCGGTACAACACTCGTGTACGCGAAGGCGGACGGACGAAAGCGTTTCGAATACCACTCAGGAAAAACAACGATTTTCCTATTGCAGCTGAAAACGGTGATGGAACGTTGCGAGAAAATCCCGGCGGAGACTTTCGAGTCGCGTAATAGAACCGCCGTGGAAGAGGAATCGAGATTGTGGCCTCGCGTGGATCGCGAGGGCAAAGCTCTGGGTGATGCGGAGTATGTGGTGCCATCGCCTCCTGAACGCGAGCAACAAACGGCTCAGACCCTCAGCCATGCCGATTTGGAAGCCTACGTTAGAAGCTATCAAGATCCTCAAGTGTCCCAGGTAACGCATAACCTTGGTCGTTCAACGTTTTCTCTTACCAATGGATTAATGTAGTAATTGGATTCTGCTTTGGTTGGTAGGTGGACATTTACAGGGAAGCAACCCTAACACAAGCGGGCCTTGAAGAGTACACGAGGGTGCAACATTCTCAGCAAGCTAGCTACGCACAATCCGAAGGTTATCACAGTTACGTTTCCAGTGTCGATTCTACGACGAACACACCGTTCCTCGATAGGTACGATACTGGACGATTTATACGACAATCGTTCGTTTATCTTGTGATGTAATATTTAAATTCAAATTGCTCATGCAGGTTGAGAAGAGACAGCGAGGCAGTGGCACAGAGGCCAACGTCCACCTGGGAGGATACATCAAGGGAAGGAAGAGATAGCGTAGTGACGACGTCCAGCGGAAGTGCCTCGAGCAGCGAAACTCTGAAATGGCACGGATCGATGTCGGACGTGAGCGTGTCCAGCGGGTTGCCAGCTCGCCAGGGCGCTTCGGATCGGTGGCATCACGGATCGATGTCGGACGTGAGCAGCGTTAACGGTGGAATTTTGCCTCAGAAACCCAACAACAGCTGTCATGACAAGTGGCAAGGATCTATGAGCGACGTCAGCACCAGCGGTTTATCTCCAACCACAAAGGGCAGGCACAGCGAGAAATGGCCAGACAAGTGGCAAGTTTCGATGAACGATCGCAACAAGCAGAGTCAGGGTAGATCTAGCTTACCGGCTGTGATCAATCATTGCAACGCATCGACCAACGTAGCAGACGTTTCGTCGACCGTTCGAGAGAGCAAGTGGCAAGAGTCGAACATCGACGAGGAATCTCTAGTGGATAAATCGCAGTCAGGATCTCAGTGGGACAATTCGGTGAGGATCGAAGGTGATAAGTATGGTTCACTGGCTCAACCGATGCCGCAGAGTCCAATTCGTCAGCAGCTCGGTGCTACGACCCCTCAGAGTCCCGAAAATTGGAACCCTATACATGGATCGATGTCGGATGTTAGTCAAGCGAACGGACATCCGTGTAGCAAACAGTTGATCGCTCACAGTGCCAGAGTTCAAACTCCACAAAGACACCATTCAGAGAGTGTGTTGTACTTGGACCGCGAACGAAATCAACGCAAGCTGTACCCTGTTAGCACTACTCAGCCTCAGGAATCTACGCAATCTTCAAGGTGACGTTATAATTCCACATACCTCAAAGATCTCTTGTCCTCATCAAAGGTTTATTAAATTTGTATTCTTTCTTTCAGGATGGTGCCAGCACTGCCTCAACAGCCACAAATGTCAGTGGCGGAACGTATAAACGAGCTTGAGAAGCAACAACAACAACAACAACAGATGCGTTACACTTACCTGGACCCAGAAAAACGCCACAGAGTCTCCGACCCAACCTTAAAAGCCATACAAAAGAAAGCCCTGCTTTCCTTCTACGAGAGACACCACCAGGCATCCTGGAGATCAGAACCGCAACTGGCCCAAGGAATAGCTCCTGCGCCTCAAAGCCCCCCGCCTCAGCCACCCCCTCGTCCTAGACCGCCTTCCTCGAGACGAGCGAGCTCCGCCTCCGACTACGCCAGTGGCACCTGGCGAGAAAATGGAAACAGGAATCAGAACCAAGGTAATGGAGAACTGTCGAGTCCTAAGCATCAGCACAGCAACAGCTGTGGTAGTCTCTCTACGGACTTGCTAGGCCCTGTGATAGTAGGACCAGCTATATCGATCGACGATTGGGTGCCAGAAAGGCCACCCAAAAAACCACACTTGAGAAACGTTTACAACGACCGTGTACCCAGTCCCGATTTACCACCGCCATCTCCTCCTACAGTGACTGAAAATGAAGTTCACGATTGCGATGATCCACTGCCACCTCCGCCGCCAGAGCTCAGCGAAGATTGTTTCACTGAGAGCCAGCGCAAGCCCAGCAGCACGCACCATCAATCTGAGGAGACAAAGATTCGTGATAGATCTTGCGACAGACACAAGTTAGAGAGACACTCAATGAGAAGATCGAAACACGGTTCCAAGAGAGATCACGAGAAGTCCGGAAAGTCTTCCCCAAATTCGCCCGTGAAGACGATGTCCCAGGAACAGGAGCAACACCAATTCGTTAGACCTGCCATAGCATTGAAGCATGTCGACTCCGAGATGGTGCTGGAGAACGGTGTTTCAGCTGGATTCGCCACACATAGAATGGTGGCTACGGGTCGGTCGAGTTTAAGATACCCGTCGACGCAGAAGTTAATGGTGAATGGCAGAGTAACGCCAGCCAGGAGAATATCGGAGGAGCGGCCTTTCTCTAGCAGGCCACCGGCGCAACTACCTGATCTCATCTCGCAGCGATATAGCGACTCTGGGAACCAGAGACCTGCCCCTCAAGTACCCGTGGAACCGAGAATCATTCGGCAAGAGTCGATGCGAGTGGACGGAACGCGAATCGACGTTTCTGGCTTACTCAGGAACGATTCGGCTCAGAGACTGGAATCCTCTTCTGGTCAGAGACCTCAGCCGCAAGTGCCTAAAAACGTCGATAAAAGTGCCTCGAGTAATCAATCTAATCAGGCAACGAGACCAAACTACCTGCCCGTGCCTGAGAATTCTAAGTGCGCGTCCAAATATCTAGAAGGTGGAAACCACGGTTTTGCAATTGGTAGTCCAGTGAAGACGGGCTACGAGGCCAATTCCAAAATGTTCCCGTCGGAGTCGAGTCCTCAGAAGTATCACGAGCCCCCGAAATACGTGCCCAACCATCACCAACGTCACGGAGACGTGACACAGAGGAATTACTACGCCCTGCCCCCTAAGTACATCGACGCACCGAAACAAAAACCTCAACCTCAGTGTCCTACGGATAGATACGGTGGTACTGGTTCACCTAGTTCTCCTCCTCCGCCCCTGGCGCCGCGACAGAACACTCCAGGCAGGAAATCGTTGCCACCTCCGCCTCGACCGGCACCTCCACACGCGCTACAGGGGTAAGTTTGATGCTTTTTTAATGACCCTCGTCATTTCTCTGGTACGACCTTTAAATTATTCTTCATTACGTTTACTTGTATATATCAGCGACACAGCAGCCTGTTAATAAGACTGAAGATCGTTGGTTCGCATCGAAGATATCGCAGGAACCATTATCTCGCTTTTCGGCGGGCATTAGGAATCATTACCTTTTTGTCGCGTTTTGTAATCGCGAGAATCTCACGGATCGTTCGTTTTACAGTCGTCAATTAAAGATCTCAGAGGGAGGGTCGAAACGTCTATCGAGAAAAGGCGCACGGTATGCGATCGTCAAAGAGTTTGAGCCACGGAACGCACACGATCCTGTAATTGCGGCGTAATTGAATGGTAAATGGCTGCTGCCGCCGCTTGGCGCTTGCAGGATCGTCCATTATACGTATAGTGTCCCATCGTACGAACCCCTTATCCTGCGATCGATCAGTTGAATTAGAGGCAACCGCGGATACACCTTACCCTACGCTGTTGACGGGATGCTTATTAACGACCCTCGAAGATCGATAGATCACTCGTGAAACTGACGCACCGCGTCGCGAAAACGTTCGAGCTACATCCCTTGATGGCGTCGTTTCACCGAGAACCGTAAACACAACGCTTGCTTTTGATTTGTGGCTTGAGAAGAAACACGAAAATATTTTACTGAAATTCCATGAGGATCAGCGTTAATCATCATTCCTCTCATAAAAACACGTAATGTTTGTTTAATAATTTGCAAGTTTATGACACATAATCTGCGTGAACTAGCCGGTTCGAGCAATTTGCAACTTGTTCTCCTTATTAATGCTTCAGTGCCGCTTTTTATAATCAATTGATACAACACTGTAAAGCCACTGTAAACTGGAATTCGATTATGAATTCCCGAAGATTAAAACTAAAAGCAAAAAAATTTGCGAACCAGCTTCTCGTTAAGTACTCAATATTCGTACGAAAGAAACTCGTGGACTCCCCAGACCGAACATCGTAGAATCGTTACTGACTCGTACGAGCCTTGAGCAAGAATTACCGATGGATTATCAAGCTACGAAGCCAGACGAGATCCCTTGATGCTCGTTTTTGTGCCGGTTTAAATCCAGGAACTCGTAAATCCCCGGGGATCAGCACCAGCGATGCCGATAGTTCGGCGAACTCTTGGCTCGCTCGTTAATTATTTTCTCGTTCGTCCGCTCGACCGAATCGTATGCATTACCATGAGATTATCATTGCAAATCTAACGGTGCCCATTACCGCGTTGATTTACGAGCGTGTGACTTTCCCTGAATCGCGTCCGGTGAGAGTCTTAAACGACATCGTCGCTGGCTGCCAGCGAATGACTCCTCGGAACTGTTCACGATCCCCGCTGGTTTTAATCGTCACGTCCACGTAAATTCACCATTAAACTCTGAAATCGTTATTCCCCCGCAAACCTTCAGCTTTTTATCTGCTTCATCTCTGCCGCGGGTTCTCTTTGTTTCCGCCGCGTCCTTGACAAAGTTGTTGCTTGAAACTCTTATAATCTTCAGAAGAACCAGGGGGGTATTGAACCTTAATTGCGATCGGTTACCTCAAAGATAGAAAACGCTAAACGAAGAAGGTACAACTTGTCTCGAACCTCGTTCAGACCAGTCGTGGTTGCAAGAAAAAAGTCGTCAGTGGCTTCCTTGCAACGCGAGTCTTTGCGTTCTTGAAAAGCAAGAACTCGGGCAAGGTCGATCGCACACGAAGCGCCCTGCCATCCGGAGGATCATGGTAGCGCGTTTCACGGAAGCGGAGATTCTCCGTGACCCAGCGCCTCTTTGTTCACCGGTCCATGATTTTTTGGGTCATGAGACGCACTCTGACCAATTGCAAAAAGCAACGGCGAGATTATACCTGAGATCGCGAACGACTTCATCCAAATGGAAGGAAATTAACGATGGATTAATAGTAATTGCACGGTTGTGGAGATTCACCGGTCGGACTCGTTCCTCGGAGGGCACAGGATGTAGGCTCGATCTCACAGAGCGATAAGTCTTTTCACCTTTCTTTTGTTTCCTTCTCGCTCTGATTGGGTGACCAGCTTGGCTTCTGTGATGGTCGAGTTGTCGACTGCGACGGACGAGATTCCGACCCCGCGACACGGTTCGGGAAGCAAACGCTCCGCTTCGTTTTGACCTTCGACGGGAAGAGACAAGTCAGAGAGATCTTCTGTGCCATGAAGTTGGCAGGTATTTAACGTGGCTGCCGATTCTTCTCGCCTGCCGCCTCTCCCTCTTTCTTTCGTCCGGGGTATTCAAGCGGAGGCTTAACCTTTCGGCTAAACCGAGCCACGAGGCAGAAATGTCAGAAAAAAGGTTACCGCGTGGCACCACGGGCGTGTTTGCCTGTTCTTCGGTGCTCGATTATGCTCGCCGTGGCACTGCTGTTCCACCACACGGATAGAAGAGTTGAACGCGTGAGAATTCGTCGACTATTCGGCCTCGTCCAATAAGAAAGATCTCCGTGTGTAGCGAGTTAGAACACGATACAGTTCTATGTTTGAATCTTCTCTTAACTCTCATAGCAGACAACGATAGACGCGTTCCACGCCGGTACTCAAGAAATCACGCGAATTTATTTTTCTTCGATAACATCTGGTCAGCATCAAACTGACGGGAAAAATGCGCTGATTCAGATCGCAGATTCCATTCGAGGCAGTAATCTAATCGCGTAATTGCGATTGTGCTTCAATGCCTGGTCGAGTGCGCAAAAATGTATTTTCGCAGGAAACGTCTGCCGATTCAGTTGCCACGATTAAACAATCCCCAGAATAGATCGACGTTTCTCTTAATAACGATCGTAAAGTCATAGTTATTCGAAGAATGTTGGTTTAAAAATTTTTTCACCGTTTTGATTACGTGACTACCCGCAGCGTAGTTACTGATACTCTTTATGCTGGCAGTTTCGCTTTCCGTTACGAGTTCGATGTTCGAAGAGATTAATGATACGACCATAAATATGTACATATCATTCAGCGTAAATATATTTAAGAAAATAATAGCGTTTCCAAAGGGAAAGTGGAATGATTCTATTGAACACGAGCTATTCTTGAAATACTTGTTAAAAAATTCTGCCCATGGAATTTAAAGAAAGAACCAAAGTTTATCGCAGATATTTCTCTTTGAAACAAAATTATTCGACCTTAACTATTAACGGCGCCAATTTGCTCGTTAGCCATGCTCCACAATCTAAATTGTACGCATTTCTTGGGAACAAAGTCGCTTGGAGACGTCTCGTCAGATGTGGAACACGATTGACATACATGACTGATCTCATTTTAGCCCTCCACTGTTTTAATAAGCAATATTTCATTCTTCAAGCTACTAACTTAAATAAAGCATCTGGTTAGATGTCACTATCGTCATGGTATTCGAGCCGAGTCTTCACGTTTCCCCAGTTCTCTTCGTTTCGTTCTTGAATCGTACCTTAGTCCCTTTCTTCTCGCCGCTGCACAAGCAAAACTCGTTCCATTCTGCACCTGAGATTGCATGGAAGAAAGACCGCGACCTCGACAGGGTAACCGACGAGTATGCCAAGTATCGCTTAACATCGGTTACTTGTCGTCGAATCTCCTCCCTTTACCACGTCGGATGACACCGCATAAGGCTATAGCCAAGGAAGAAAAAGAAGTCCACGGTATATCGTATTATCGCTAGTCGAGACGATTTTTCTTGTTTTATCGCCACCACGCTTCGAATCGAATACGTGCTCGCGTCAAAGGAATTGGATTAACCTTTCTTCCGAAGACGTGATTCTTAAAGCAATGAATAGATACAGCATACATAGATCTTTCTTGCAAACTTTGACATGACTATTAAAAATACATTGACTTTGATGGTATTGAAGAGTTTTGGAACGAGAGGAAAAATTTTTCGTTCGAACGCACTCGATATGACTTCAAGTTCAATATGAGATAGTACTAAAATGTAAAAAACTTTGCTAAAAAGGAATAGGACGATACATCGTAACGTTATGGTGAACGACACTCATTATCGAGGTGTATATTTGCGTAGCGACAGCGACGATCACAAGATATAATCGTAATTCATAATTGGTAACTTGTAAATTATTTTTTCACGATTATATTTATACTTAAAACTCCGATTTTGATTACAACTAAATAGTTTGATGTCAAGGAGTATAGGAGAATGTGTCCGAATCGATTGCGGAAAAATTTATTATATGTTTATCTGTTCGTTTATTCTATCGAGCCACTCAACGCTCGATAAGCGATTTCGAAACTAGAGAATTTTATTTGCCATTCTTGCGACGGCGGGCTGTGAAATAAAAACCCCAGTTGTTTGATTGTGGAATCGATGGATTATCTGTAAAATATATATATTTATCGGGCGTAGTTACAGTTATCGGTTCTCGATCTCGTGAGGGGAAATGCGAGAAAGCATCGTTCGATATACTTTTAATTAAACACTTTATCTCTACGGATATGAGTCATAAAATAATTCACTCGTTTGATAATATTAACAAAAAGCAATAAGAAATGATATATCATAATATATATTGCTGACTCTCGTCGCTTGAAGTTATCGTCCTCAAAGTATCGTTTAACTATTCACACGATTATCCGTACCGAAGATGTAAATGCGTGTGTCGCAAGAGTACGATGCAACGTCTACTAATTATCAACGGTAATTAAAAGGAGAACGATGCCAGCGTTCTGGTTGCGGCAGAAGTACTTTCGTCGGTCGGAAAGTCGAGCACGGTAGCACACTCATTCGAGCAGCCTTCCAACAACTCGTAACGTCCTCCCTTCGTGCGTGGCGAGACTCGTTTGACGACTTGCCAAGAAACGGGGTCAATTGCATGCAATCCTGACTAATTCTAAGCGGGTTTAGAAGCGATAGTGGTAGCGTATACGCCTTCATTAACTAGTCGATTAACATCCGCCGAAAAGAAAGTGTCTTACATTGTTAGCAAATTTCGTAACTGTAGGACGATTAGAGCAGAAGCG